CTGGTTACAAGGTGGGTCCGCTATCCCGGGGGAAGAACTACTACCTATCTACTAAGTACTACTACTCTATCTCATCTTTTCCTCTTTCCACCGTCACGTGTATAATCCTTTCCTGTCTACCACCGCGCGACGTCTAATCGTTTCCTCGTCCCGCCACCAGGTGGCTTCTCATTCTATCCTCTCCCCGCCACCGCGCGACGTCTAATCGTTTCCTCGTTCCGCCACCAGGTGACAGCAGAGATAGCAGCGACGCGTAACTCGGTGCCCGGCGTCGGTCTCATCTCGCCGCCGCCTCACCACGACATCTACTCCATCGAGGACCTCGCGCAGCTGATCTACGACCTGAAGTGCACGAACCCGACCGCGCGCATCAGCGTCAAGCTCGTGTCAGAGGTCGGCGTCGGAGTCGTCGCCGCCGGCGTCTCCAAGGTAACGAGGGTCGTCGCCGGGGGTGATGAGAGCGAGTAAAATCACCTTATATCACCTTATCACCTTGTATTCTTCCGTATTCCTTCTGTATTCACAGTTTATCCTCCTGTATTCCTCCGTATTCCCTCTGTATTTACAGTTTATCACCCTGTATTCCCCCTGTATTCACAGTTTATCACCCTGTATTCTTCCATATTTCCCCTGTATTCACAGTTTATCACCCCTATATTCCTCCGTATTCCCTCTGTATTCACAGTTTATCCCCCTGTATTCCTCCGTATTCCCCCTGTATTTACAGTTTAATTCCCTCTGTATTCACAGTTTATCCCCCTGTATTCCTCCGTATTCCCCCTGTATTTACAGTTTATCACCCTGTATTCTTCTGTATTCCCCCTGTATTTACAGTTTAATTCCCTCTGTATTCTTCCATATTTCCCCTGTATTCACAGTTTATCACCCCTATATTCTTCCGTATTCCCTCTGTATTCACAGTTTATCCCCCTGTATTCACAGTTTATCCCCCTGTATTCCTCCGTATTCCCCCTGTATTCACAGTTTATCCCCCTGTATTCTTCTGTATTCTCTCTGTATTCACAGTTTATCACACTATTCCTCCGTATTCCCCTATATTCACTGTTTATCACCCTGTATTCCCCCTGTATTCACTGTTTATCCCCCTATATTCACAGTATTCCTGTATTCGCTCAGGGCAAGGCCGAGCACATCGTGATCTCGGGACACGACGGCGGTACGGGGGCCAGCAGCTGGACGGGCATCAAGAACGCGGGCCTGCCCTGGGAGCTTGGCATCGCGGAGACTCACCAGACTCTCGTGCTCAACGACCTGCGCTCCAGGGTCGTGCTGCAGGCCGACGGACAGATACGCACCGGTAGGTGGCGCCACCGTCCCACAGATCTGTGAGCTCGGTCGAAGCCATTTATCGCTTACTGAGTATTAAGATATTATATTATGATTTCATATGTATTCGTGTTATATTATGAACTCGATGCCATATTCAGTTTATTTTTACCGATACTTGCACATGTGATGTAATACAACGTATTCTGTTGCATTTAAGATGCGTTGCGCGTATGTTTGGATGCATTTAAATTTTTTAAGTACGAATTCTTTACATGATGCGGATTCTTTTATATTAATTCTCTAAAAATTTCGTTAACTTTCGTTTACGTTAATTAAGACGCTTGATTATTGATTACATGATATTAAGTTAGGATAATCTATTGTTTTTAAACCTTTTTTGTATTAATTTTATGACGCTACACACCAGTCGAACTTTTCATCTCGCAATTCGCAAGGCGATTGAAATCGTGTCGAGACAACGCCTTGCTCACACTTGTGACCTCTCGCCGCCTCGTGGCGCCACCTGTCCTCTGCAGGTCGCGACATCATCGTCGCCGCGCTGCTGGGAGCGGACGAGTTCGGCATGTCGACAGCGCCCCTGGTGGCACTCGGCTGCACTATGATGCGCAAGTGTCACCTGAACACGTGCCCTGTCGGCATAGCAACGCAGGACCCGGCTCTTCGCAGACTCTTCCACGGCACGCCCGAACACGTCATCAACTACCTGTTCTACCTCGCCGAGGAGGTGAGCCGCCAGGGGGCGCTGCGCGTGCGCGTTGGGGGCGCTGCAAGCACATCAATCTTGCTTTCCTTCTTTTTGCTTTTTTTTTTCTCTACTTTTTATTTATTTTTCTTATTCATCTTCTACCTTGCCGAGGAGGTGAGCCGCCAGGCGGCGCCACACGCGCACGTTTTTATTGTTGTAAATTTACGTAGAATCTACTTTTATCGCTATAATTACAATATACTACTTAAATTCTTGCCCCACTTCTTTTCTTCTTCTTGCTCTCATTCTTTTTTCTTCTTCATCTTCTTTTTTCTTCTTCTCCTTCTCTTCCTGATTTTTCTTCGTCTTATTTTTGTTATTGTTATTATGTTGTAATACTCCCTGCTCGCGACTACCGTTTCGACGCTGTCGACAAACAATGACTAACGGTGGCGCCCCCTCTCTCTCTCTCCCTCCTCAGGTGCGGGAGTACCTCGGCAAGATGGGATTCCAGACGCTACAGGAAGCGATCGGGCGTGCGGACATGCTGCGTGTTGCCGGCACCCCCTGCAACAAGAAAGCGGCGCTGCTCGACTTTGGGCCGATACTGACGTACGCGGCGGAATTGCGTCCGGACGCCAGTACGGTGGCAGCGAGTGTAGTTCAGGACTTCAAGATGGAGAACAGGCTGGTGAGCGGTGGTGGACGACGGTCAGTGAGTGTGGGTGAGAGAGAGAGAGCGGCGGACCTGCGTCCGGACGCCAGTACGGTGGCAGCGAGTGTAGTTCAGGACTTCAAGATGGAGAACAGGCTGGTGAGCGGTGGTGGACGACGGTCAGTGAGTGGGTGTGTGAGAGAGAGGGAGAGCGGCGGGCCTGCGTCCGGACGCCAGTACGGTGGCAGCGAGTGTAGCTCAGGGGTTCAAGATGGAGAACATGCTGGTGAGCGGTGGTGGACGACGGTCAGTGAGTGGGTGTGTGAGAGAGAGGGAGAGCGGCGGGCC